AGTTAAATACCTTGATGATATCAAATGATATTAATACATTGATGATAATGATGATAATGATATTAATGTGCACTGAGACATCTGGTGAGAAATCCATAAATTGGTCTTCATACTTTCGGTTTCGATTAAGGCCTAAAAGTTGCGGATTTTCTTTTTTTTATTATTATCTATTTTTCTATATTTTTTTTATTGATTTATTTTTTTAATTTTAATGCGCTACCGGAACAACGATATTGAACTGTTACTGACAACATCATTTTCAAAGTCTTTTTCTTTCATGAAGTAACTGTGTTTATGTAATTCAAAAACAATTATAATCTCATATGATGCTCATAATCTAATTCGGTTGCTTATTTCAGTTGTTTGTGTAAATACGCTTCTGTGAATATTTTATGTGAACATGTACTGATAAAGTCTCGGCATGTAAAAAAACAATATGCATATGAATTATCTAATGTGTGCGTGTGTGTGTGAGTAGCTTAGTTTCAATGTATATTTACTGTTTCAATATTTTAACTTAAGTAATATGTTTGTATGTGCGTGCGCGTTATATGTGTGTGTGTTGGTATGTGTATACGTTTGCGTGATTGTGTGTGTGCGCTGTACGCATGTACGTGTATAGGGGTTTGTCAATACGATCTAGTACAATAGTATCTTATATGCATATTGATAACATTTGTATACCACAACTTGTGATATATTTCACCAAACTGAAAGTTTGTTTTACTACTCTTTTGTATTCTAAAATAGTCCTACTGCATCACAAGAATGACCCCTTGTTGTTTTCTTTTCAAAGCAACGGCACAATATTTATTATATTATTCAGTATGTTGACTGTCGTGTATCCGGAGTATATGAAAAGCTTGGTCATCCAACTTTTACCCTTTGAAAATAGTTAGCTCTCAGTATTATTTTGGCTTTACTCCGAAAAGCGATAATTATTTAAATCAAGGAACCATGTATACTTATAGATCTCCATCAAACATCCCACTGACTTTTCACTTCCTCATTAACATGTTAGTTTTCTGCAACCTGCTTCTCTAATTTTCGTTACATTATGAAATATTATTCAAGAACTCAAACTAGACATAATGTCATACAGCAACCACGAAAGTTATATCCGAACCTGTCTCGTCTTAACTCAAACCTTTTGTTTACTAACGGTTGTATTCGGATACTTTTTGTCAGTGTTTTGGTATTATGGGTACATACATTTATTACAAATTGTGACGATGTACATAAGAATCCTGGACCCAGTACAGCTAGATCGTCTTTGTCCTTAGTATCGTCTTCACTTTACGATCCTTCTATTTTTCACAACCACCACAACCACCTATCTTTTGTACATTATAATGTTCAAAGTATTCAAAACAAGAAAGATTTATTGTCTGTTGAGTTCTTGGACTTCGATATTCTAGCTTTCACAGAAACTTGGTTAAGCGATTCTGTCCCCGATGAAAATCTGAAAATTCCTTCATTTCATTTGCCTCTCCGTAAAGACAAACACGGAGACAGTCATGGAGGTGTTATTATATATGTTAAAACAATCTTCACTTCAAGCATAGAGCTGATCTTGAACCAAGTAACCTAGAATGCTTATGGGTCGATGTTACATTGCATAACAACAAAAAGATACTTTTTGGCAACTTTTACAGGCCACCTAACGCTGATTCAATTTATAATAGCTTAATAGAAGACTCCTTTTCACTGGTTGTCGATACTTGGTTTTCCGATATATTCATCACGGGAGATTTTAATTTAAATACTCAAAATCGTAATGCATCTTTAAACATATCTTCACTCTGTCGAGAGAACGATCTTGTGCAACTTATTAATGAACTGACACATTTTACCGAAAACTCAAACTCAACTCTAGATCTTATATTTGTATCTAAAGCTGAAAATGTTTTATTTTCTGGTGTCCGTGACCATTTTCTTGACCAAAATGTTCGGTTTCACTGTCCAGTCTTTGCTTTGTTGAAATTTCACAAGCCAAAATTGCTTTCCTATTCAAGACACATATGGATGTATGACCGTTGTGACTTTAACAGTCTGAAACAAGCACTAGGTGAGTTCGACTGGCATTCTTGTTACCATGAGAACATCAATATTCAAACAACCAATGTAACAGAAAATATTTTAGAAATCAGCAGCAAATGTATCCCTAAAAAGTTGTCAGAATACGCTCTAACGATGTACCATGGATGAATACATCAGTCCGTAAAGCTATTAGAAAACGCAAATGTGCATACAGGAAGGCCAAACGAACTAACAGCGAACCCTCTTGGCCAAAATTGAGGAGACTTCGTAATGACACCGTCACATTAATACGACGATCTAAAATTGATTATTATGAACAAATGGAAAATAAACTTAAATCCGAGCCTCTCTCACCTAAGTCTTTGTGGTCTATTTATTTCACCAAATACAGACAAAACTATACCTCCTTTAAAAAGCCCATATACTGAAAATCTTATATACAATTACTTCGAAAAAGCTGAACTGCTGAATAACTATTTTTGTAGCCAAACTTTACTGAATGATGGTGGTAAGCAGGTCCCGCAAGCAACTCCTCCAACTGACACTAATCTCCTAACATCTCTGGTTCTTTGTCCACAAGAAATAGAAGACGCATTAAATAATCTCTCTTCAGGAAAATCATCGGGCCCAGATGGAATAAACAACCGTATTCTCAAAGAATCATCAGCTGAATTATCAATCCCTCTATGTTCTCTCTTTAATCACTCTCTTCGTTCATGTATAGTCCCTGAAACTTGGAAAGACGCAAATGTCTGTGCTATTTACAAAAAGGGTGACACCTGTCTCCCTGTCAACTATAGACCTATTTCATTACTCAGTTGCATTGACAAGGTTTTCGAAAGAGTTATCTTCAAACACATCTATAATCATTTAAACGCTATCCGCTTGTTGTCCCCTTTTCAGTCTGGATTTAGACCAGGTGACTCCACAGTTAATCAGTTAACACTTTTATATGATACATTTTGTAAAGCGCTCGATAATGGTTTAGAAGTAAGAACGGTTTTCTTTGACATAAATAAGACATTCGATAAGGTGTGGCACAAAGGCCTGTTGGTCAAACTAGAAAATGCTGGTATTTCGGGTAAATTATTAGACTGGTTTTCAAATTATCTCTCCTGAAGACGACAACGCGTTGTGCTACCTGGTCCTCAATCTACATGGGATGCAGTAAATGCTGGAGTTCCTCAGGGCTCTATTTTAGGAACCCTATTGTTTCTTATTTTTATAAATTATATTGTCGTTCACATTGGAAGTCATATCCGTCTTTTTGCTGACGATACCAGTTTATATATTGTTGTTGAAAACCCAAATGCTGCTGCAGAACACCTCCAATCTGATATTCTAAAAATAACAGAATGGACCGATACATGGTTAGTTAACTTTAATCCTGCAAAGTCCGAATGCCTATTGCTAAGTAGAAAAATGCATCAGCAAAACCATCCATCTCTAAAAATGCATGGCCAAATTATACCGGAAGTAGAACACCACAAACATCTGGGTATCATTCTTTCAAATGACTGCTCTTGGCATGAACACATTAACTATATAGTAAATAAAGCATGGAAACGGGTTCACATTATGCATAGACTGAAATTTACGCTTCATAGGAAATCTTTTGAAGTAATATACACCTCTTTCCGACCAATTCTAGAATATGCTGATGTTATATGGAATAATTGCTCTATGGCTGAAAAGGATATGCTTGACAAGATCCAAAACAAATGTGCTCGTATTGTATCGGGAGCAACCAAACTGGTCTATCTCGATAAACTTCAACAGGAAGTGAATTGGTCATCCCTAGAAGAGAGACGACGCGTTCACAGGCTTATAATGTTCTATAAGATGATAAATGGTCTTGCACCAGAATATCTAACAAATCTCGTTCCCCCAAATATTGGATCAACGTCTTCGTACAACCTTCGAAACCCAGATCAGTTGAGACCTGTACATTCCCAAACTAACCAATATTCAATTCTTTCTTACCAGTGACAGTTCGCGATTGGAATAACCTATCAACATATGTAAGAAATTCACCCACTTTAAAAGTTTTTAAAAGTAAAGTTATGCCAGTCCGTGATAGTACGCCCGCTTATTTTTATAGCGGATCACGAATGGTCTTACATGCTAGGCTTCGCATGAATTGTAGCAAACTAAATCATCACCTTTTGCCATTGTGGACAACCTGAAAACAACTATCACTATCTTCTCGAATGTCACTTTTATAGTTGCCACCGTACATGCCTTCTCACAAAAGTGCGTCAAATCACTCTAAATGTCTCTCTTCATACTCTTCTGTTTGGGGGTGGTTCTCTTTCTCAATCAGACAATTCGGAGTTATTTCTGGCCGTCCAAAAAATACATAAAATACATAGTGGATAGTGGGAGGTTTGCATGACGAGTAAATGTTGCAAAGTACTGTCTACGACTTAACAATTACACTGGTAAACACTTAAAAAAATAATCATAGTCTTTATACTGTCTGTGTGCTAAAAAATCATTTGTCTCTTCATCTCTAAACGTTGGTTTTCATCTTAATATTCCTTCTTCTTTTTCTCTTTCTATATTTATTTCTATTAATATATTATATTAAAATATCTATCAATTACAAAAATGCAAGAGCCTTACCACATAACTTAGTTTTGTGTATGTTTCAAAAATATTTCAGTAGAAGCGGTTGTGGTACACATTTGTTATATGCTATTTACTTGCTCATAGATCTACCAGCCATGTATTAGTTTTATTGTAATTCATCAATCATGGAGATTGACTTTAATAAGCACTTAGTGCTTCCGTCAAAATCCTTTGCGTATATTATGTTAGTATGGTTATGAAACTGAATGTATGTATAATGTATGATTAAAATATATGCAATAAATATGTTTAAACCAGACTATCATTTTTAAAAGAAAATCGGGGAAAAATATAAATAGTTACCGTTAATCATTATTACATTAATTTATTGATAACACGTATATCTAGTTAAATGAAAGAGAATTTTGTTTGAAACAAATCATTTGGCAGAACTGAATCAATAGATCCGATGCAAAAAATCAAACATGTGGGACAGTTCGTGGACTGTTTACCGTCGATCATTTTGTAGCGCTTTTTCAGTTGACGTCACTAACGTCCCGTCGATTTCCCGCTATCATTCTCATCCTTTCATGTTTGTGATCTCGTATGTGCAGTTTTTGAATAACTTGCGCAAGCTGAGAACGAGTATCCTGATAGCCGATTAATTGTTCTGTGTTAAGTTTATGTTTTCGTATGTATCTGAAGGAGTATAGCCAATTTGTTGACAAAGTTTAACAATCGCACACATTTTCAGTTTTTTAACGAACGTCATATTTCTACATTTAACGTTATGACCACTGCTGTTCAAAACTTGATGATTTCGCCATTTCATGTCTAAATGACGCCAAATTTGGGCATAATGTCAAAAGAAAATAAATTATTAATATCAATTAATTCATGCAAAATCGTCATCTGATGACCAGTCTGATCGTAATGTCGGTAGTGATGGTTTTTTTGATTTTACAAGTTTTCTTTTCTTTTTCTTTCCATCAACTTTCACCTGTACAAAGCCAGATGGGGCACACACATTGTCAGTTTTACTTTTCTTATTCATATTCAACTCACTATAATTTATTGTTGTATCAAGTGTTAAGTTGTTCTTTTGCTCAACATGTGTTGGAAACCCTGAAAATCCGCAAATTGTTGGACTATCAGTCAAGGTTGTATTAAGTGGATCTTCACATGTTGCAGTTAAAGTTCTTTCTAAAGACGAATTATTTCTATCTTGTCCCTCACCCGAAGTGCTAGTTTCGTTCTCACAAGATGGATAATGTCTTTCTTGTCCATAATCTTCCATGTCAGATTCATTCTCTGTTTCTGAAAAATACAGTATGAAAATGTTAATTAATCGGTTACTATAATGAATAAGGTAGACAACTCATCCTATATAAGGGCATTAAGGTTTACAAGAGTGAATTCCCTTGTCACAATTATTATTCAACTTGATTGACATAAGATATTTTTAAACAATCAATCAGTCAATCATCAATAAAGTTTAGATAAAATATATACAATGTAAATATTTAGCTTACCGGATTCCGAATTGGCATATGAAAATGCAGGTTCCATTTTCTCGTTTTCTGTATCTGAACCTGTCCATGAATCAAACAGTGGAGTGCTGTAGGTATATACTGATGGCTTGTCAAGAGGATAGATTTCCTTGATGAAGTCAAAAAAGGAATATACGTTTCCTTTCACGACACTGCGCCACATCACCTCGGCCATGAGGGACTCCCATTGAGAAGCTGTCGTACCCGACATTCGTCTGCAAAAGAAAGTGAAATATGCGTAAATCTTTTAAGTAAAGATAGCTATTATAAAGTACATTTTCCCCCCATTTGAAAATATATGTTTACTGTTCTTGATTTGACCCCTATGTAAATTTCAGAAGTATGCACTAAAGGAAACGGAATGAACCTTATATATACTCCTAGTTTAGACCCCGGGGTCTATTCCAGGATATAAACGGCCACTTCAAGGCAATTTTAATAAAATACAAATGTCATTCATTCCGTAAATACATAAAACGTATAAAAATTGTATCATGATAAAAAAATAATTTAAATTTCAGAAGTAAAACTTGAATATAATGCACTAAAGAAAACGGAATGAACCTTATATATTTACTCCTAGTTTAGACCCCGGGGTCTATTCCAGCGGCAATTCAATGTTTATAAAACACAAATGTCATTCATTCTGTAAATACATAAAAAGTATAAAAAATGTATCCTGATAAAAAAAGTAATTTAAATTTCAGAAGAAAAACTGGTAGATAATGCACTAAAGAAAACGGAATGAACCTTATCTATACTCCTAGTTTAGACCCCGGGGTTTATTCCAGGATATATACGGCAAGTCAATGTTTATAAAATACAAATGTCATTCATTCCGTACAAATATAAAAATTATATTGTATCATGATAAAAAGTTATTTTAATGACGCATTTATTCCGTCAAAACAGACGCAATGTTTATAAACTATATAAATTGCCATTCATTCCGTAAATACATAAAATAGTTTTACACTAAAAAAAGAACGCCCCCTCTATCTATATTTTTATCTTCTGCGAGAGTCTCTTTTGTCTCTTTATTGACATATACCTTTTTAAAGGTATATTTGTGAAGCACTGAGAAGTGTCTGTACCCTATTTCGTGAAGTGGACAGTATGCAGACCAACAGTCACTGTATATTGTTTTTCCTGGTTGTTCAATTAGCGGCAGCAATGTTTTCGCTCGGCGGTCATGAACAGGGTAGAGGATCAAACTGTTACTGGCCCTTTCTACCATCCCAAACACTCACACTCGCAGTCCTTTGTGGGGATTTCCTTTATTATATTTTACTTTTCGTCCAAAAAGACTTTCATTGATTTCAATTTCCTCAGATAAGGATTTGTTTTTTAATTTCCTCTAATAAAATTCCTTTAGAACCTCTCTTATGAAGCTTCCTCAGTCCACCACAGTACTGCCGTAAGCAATACCACTAAATTTTGGGCATGTGTTCAGTGAAAATCTGTCTAAGCAGGATTTTGAAAACATCTAACGTCCTGTATGGTAAGGTGTGATTTCTCAAAGAAAGATTTCTTCCTTACACTTTGCGGTGTTTGTTACATCTTAGTACAGCCCCTGAAATATTCCTTGACCTTTTGGCAAGGGAAAATGTTCAATTGCATCCTTGTCTATGGCAAGGCATCGGTGCATGGAGTAATCCGGTACGTACACACCAGTTAACAACGAACGAATTATCTTGCGACATAACGTGTTAAAAATTCCACGAATTGTAAATGTCCTGAATTTCAATATTACTAGGGTCATATTTACGGCTCCGGTAGTTGCCGACAACCCTAAGTTTCCTCTCTGAAGGCATGCTGAGGCATAACAAAACTTGGTACTGATCATTCCTGGTAAATTTGGTTGAAATTGCGCCAGTAGTTTCTAAGGAGTAGTCCGAACAAATTTGGTGAGGGACAGACAGACGAACAGACAGAGAAGTGATCCCCATGTGTCGCCACTACTCCGTAATGGCGACACAATAGCGAAGTTATTTAATATTGTTTTCCTTGAACCTTGAACCGGTAAATGACTAATATTTTAAGTGTCATGTTTGGGAAGATAATTAAGACAGATGTAATTGCATTATAACAAACGTTATGGTTTAAAGTCGTTCTTTTTATATAAGATTGAATTTTTATTACAATACCATGTTAAATTAATGAAATTGACATGCTCGTTTTTGGACGAACTATCAAAGGTAACATACTTGTTATTTTCACGATATTAATATTGACAGTTTTGATTATTTTAATTGTTTTTTTTTTTTTGGAACCACGTTTAAGGCCCGTTTATTTAAGAAAAAATAATACAATACAAGTAAACAAACCATGATAACTTTAGCATTTTCATTGACATGTTAATAATTAAAAAAAAATAATAATTTATTTTGTTATGTTTTTAGTTAGAATATATAAGACATTTTAAAAAGTTAAGAGGTTCATTCATTTATACAATTACACGAGAAAAGGGGCAAAAGGTTGAAAAGTAAATAAAAAGTAAAAAGTAAATAAACTGCTTTAGTAGCATTTTTTCTGCATGTACTATTTAGAAATCAAACAATTCAATTAGATTTATCCAGCAATTTTCAAATTCTTCTAATGTATCATTTTGTAACGCAACAAATCTTTCAATTTTTAATCTGTTTAAAAATTTTCTTTTGAAGATACTTATATCTGGAGTTTTTTTTAATTTACTGGTGTAAATGTAATATTTTGAAAAGAGAAAAATATACGATGTTTTCTTATCTTTAGCATGAAAGAAAGATGTAAAATTATCATACGTAACATTTATTGCTATTTCATTAAGCCATTTGAATAAATTATTCCAGAATATTTGTACTGTTTGGCAGTCCCAAAATAGGTGTTCTATACTTTCAACATCCATACAGCAAAAATCACAGAGACTAGATTCTGTTATTTTACATTGAAGGAGAAATTTGTTTGTTGCAATATTCCCGTGTAAAAAATTATATAGAAAGTTTTGTAAAATATTATCTTTGCAATAAACAAAAACATTTTCGTAAATATTTTGCCATTGAAATTCTTTTTGAGGAAATCGTTCTTCCCATTTTATTTGCGATTTTGTTTTTTTTATTTTTACAGAGTCTTATTTGTTTTTGAATCTGTGTTAACTTGTTACTAATATTGCACGTGTTTGTTTTTTCTATGATATCAAAAATGCTTATTTCTTTAGGCGTTGAAGTTTGATTAATTTGTTGTAGTTTACGTTTCCATTCTTTGGGTATTGATGAAATTAATTTATAAAAGTTAAATATATCTGTATAAGGAATGTCAAAAGTAAGTTTCAGCTGGTCAAAGGTTTTAAATTGTTTTGTTTCAGTGTTAAAAATATCCTTTATTCTATTGATATTTCGACATTTCCATTTTGGAAAAAAGAATTAAAGATCCATTATTTTTTATGTGTGAATTCTGCCATATTATTTGGTCTAATAGATTTTGTGGATTTTTATTAAAATTTATTTTACTCCATGACAGTAGTAATTCTTTTAAGAATGTATTTTCGATTTTAAGTTTCTGTATATCATATGTGTTTAAATTACTTTTAAATATGTCGATTCCACCTATTTTTTGTAAATTTTTCTTCATTATCTCTTTCCACAATCCATGGTTATTTTCATCAAATATTCTTTTGATCCAGCTTGATTTAATCGAGTTCATAAAAATCGGCAAGTCTATCATATTTAAGCCTCCATATTTAAAGTCTTGTATAATTACATCCCTTTTAACTTTGTCTCTTTTTGAGTGCCATATAAATTCAAAACAATTTTGTGCAATTGTTTTCATAATTTCTTCTGGTGGACTCGGAAGAACAGATATTATTAAGGTTAGTTTTGATATAATTAATGATTTTAAAATTGATATATTGCCAATTGTTATTAAACGTCTTGCCCTCCATCTATTAACGTCTGTTTTAAATTGGTTCAATTTATTCTCGTAATTTATTTTGGTTATTAAGTCACATTTTGAATGGAAAGTTATGCCTAATGTTTTTGCACATTCTGAGGTCCAAATTATATTTGAATATTTTTTTCTACAATAGATTAAAACATGTTGATTTCTAAGTGAACCTATTCTGAGAACTGTACATTTTTTGTAATTAAGTTTAAGACAAGAAATAATGGAAAATTGTTCAAATATGTTCAAAGTTTCTTCAAAGCTGTTTGATTTACCATTTAATATTATAGTCGCGTCGTCTGCAAAGATGCTATTTTTAACTTCTACATCAAAAATTTTAAAACCGTCAATATTCCTATTTTGTCTTATAGCTATTGACAATAGTTCAATTGCTAGGATAAATATATAAGGAGACAATGACATCCTTGTCGTACTCCTCTTTTTATAGGGAATGACTCAGACAAAAAACCATTGTAAAGTATGCAACTCGTGGGTCTTTTGTAAATAAGTTCAATCCATGCTTTTAAATTTGGTCCAAAGTTAAAAAGATCTAATGTTTTAAATACGTATTTGTAGCTTATGCTATCGAATGCTTTTTCAAAATCAGCAAAAAATAGAAGTCCTGGTTTATCATTCTTTTCTGCATACTCTATCACATCATAAAGCAATCTTATATTTTCACCTATGTATCGCCCTTTAATGAAACCTGTTTGACTATCATCAATGAGTGTATTTAACACCCGTTTAATTCTATTAGCGATAACCTTTGTAAGTATTTTATAATCTACATTCAGTAAACTTATTGGCCGCCAGTTTGACAATATTGATAAATCTTTATTTGGTTTTGGAATTAGAGTTATTAAACCTTGTGCTTGTAGCTGACTGAGACAATTAATTTCAAAAGAAAAATTCAGAGCACTTATCAAATCATCTTTTAAATAATTCCAAAATATTTTATAAAATTCTATACTTAAACCATCTGAGCCTGGACTTTTTCCATTTTTCAAATCTTTGATGGCAGTTTCGCATTCAGTTTGCGTAATAATTCCTTCACAAGATTGTTTTTCGTTTTCATTTAGTTTTGGTGTTGTTTCGCCATTGAAAAAATTGTAATTTGAGGGAGTTTCGTCTTGAATGGTATATAGATTCTCATAGTATTTTTTCTGTTCATTTAAAATGTCTGTCTGGTTTGTTAAAATATTACCATTTGCATTTAATCATTTTATAAGTTTACTTTCCGCATTTCTTTTTTCTAATCCTTTTAGTAATTTTATATTTCTTTCGCCATTATTTATTTTGTAACTTTTTATTCTAGTAATTACACCATTAATATTTTCAGTATATAAGTTATCCAACTCTGCTCTTTTGATATCTAGTTCATTTTTAAATTGTCATTAAAATTTTCTAATTTAGTTTCTATTTCATCAATTTCTTTGACAAGTTTGGTTAGTTTTTCTCTTTCGATTTTCTTTTTAAACATTGAATATTTAATTGTTTCATTTCGAATAGTACTTTTAATTACTTCCCATCTGGTTTGTGGTTTTGCTAGTATATTTAATAAAAAATTATTTAAAAACCCCTTGGGGTTCTTTTAACTAAATCAAAACTGATATTGAAAAATTCAATTGAATGATCTGATCTAAAGCTGGTTTTGATTCCTGTAGTTTTAACAAAATTTACTAAATCATTTGAAACAAGAAAATAATCCAACCTGCATACAATATTTGCACGTGTTTTCGATCGCCATGCAAATCGTTTGCTTTGTGGATTTTGGATCCTATAAATATCTAAAAGCTGGTATGTTTGTATAATATTTGTAATTTTTTGGCGACATTTTAAATGAGTAAAAGCATTTCCTCCCTGTTTGTCGATGTTAGGATCAATTATTGTGTTAAAGTCTCCCCCTATTATAAAAACATGTTGTATTTTGTCTTTTAAAATTAACTCTAATTTTTGAAAGAGGTCTACATCATCCTTGTTTGGACCGTATGTATTTGTTATTATTATTTCTTTATTTTCAATATTTACTTTGATTGCCAACAATCTACCAATTTCAATTTCATATTTTTCTAGAATTTGTATTTTCAAATCATTTCTGAACAAGATAGCAACATCTTTTTGATTATTCGAATTGCCACTACATATAATTGTACCATCCCAGTCATTTTCCCATTCATCTTTACAAGTTTCTTTAAAATGTACCTCTTGAAGTAAACATATATCAACTTTTTCTGATCTTAACCAATGAAAAACGCTCGTTCGTTTAGTTTTACTGGATAATCCATTTACATTATATGTAAAGAAAGAAGTATTAGACATTAAGCTGTCAGTGACAAAAGATGTATGCTACCAGAGCAGTTGGATACAAGTATCATAAGAATAATACATACAATGGTTCCAATGAGCAGATATTTTCTTATAGAATAAAACCGAAAAAAAAACTAAAGTGAGTGTAATCATAAAATCAAAAATAGAAGCTACGGCAGTATACTACGTGATCGCCTTTTAAATAAGTAGGTTCTAACATTAATTTCTCAAGCAAAATAAAAAAACAACAAAAAAAAAACTGAATCTTACTAGAATATTAGATAGATAACTTATTTTCAGAGTAGTAGCAATAGAAGAAGAACAAAAAAAATACTAATTCTTGATGCGTGAGGGTTTAGAAAAGGCTATAAAATTCGAAACTTATTAATGTTTGATGTAATTTTCATATTGAAAAAAAAACTTTTAAAAAAGGATTGCTTATTAAGCAGCACGTCAACAATTGAAAGGATTACAAATGAAAATATATAACCAACATTTTCCTATACAAGCAAACTGAACATTACATAATAATATACATGCATGCATGCATGCATACATACAGACACGCACGCACGCACGCACGCACGCATGTACATACATACATAAATACATACATACATACATACATACATACATACATACATTACATAATCGTACCTACATATATACAATTAACGTGTCTCATAGACTGCTCATTGACTTGGAAACATAATTATTTTTAACTTGCCGCAAACAGAAAAATAATAATAAGTTCCCATTACAAATGAATGTATAAGACCTATGAATCAACAGTTTATCTAAGCCAATATACACTTATATTTCACTGAAAAGTATTGATAATATGTGTCCTTATGTATCAATAGCGTATCTAATCCCTTTTGATAATGTACTTATATAGCTTTATTCACATAAATTCACATGTACGTGTACATAATCAGTCAATATTTCCTCTTCATTTTAATTGTTATTTCAAATACTGCTTTTTACAATAAGCATCATGTAATCGCGACGTCTGTATTATTGAGACTTTTAAAGAGACTTCCTGGATATATAATTTTGGAACAATTACAAAATTGATTTTTCTGAACATTTTAATATCCATAGAAATACTATCCAGGATTTCTCTTTTATGCCTATTGATAAAGTAAAACATCCTTGGAAAAAGAGTTTTAAAAGAGACTTCCTGGATATTTCACTAAGAAACAATTTCAAATGTGTCTGAACATTTTAATAACCAAGAACATACTATCCATTATTTCTCTTGTATGCCTATTGATAAAGTAACACATCCTTGGAAAAGACTTTTAAAAAGACTTCCTAGATATATCACGTAGGTAAATTATCACCAAACGTAATGGATGCCAAAGTTTTGTTTTAATATCTGCAAATTACTTAAAGGTAATTTTTATATATATCTTAGTCAGTTTTAAATGTGTTTTTACTAAATATTTGCACTTCTACTACTTTCTTAAATAATATAATGCATCAAATTGATCCTGTCGATGATTGATACCCCGAACTCTTTGTTACGTTTTGAAGTCGTCGCTATTGACGTCATGTGACGCTAACTTCATCTCCTGTTTATTATGAATTTTTATTATGCACCCTGAAGAAGGCGGAATTGTTCGTATATGAAAGGGAATTATTTAATTTGCAGTTGACTTCTTATTTTTTACTATTTATTAATAAAATACTGACAGTCTTAACTCTCTTAACGACGCCAGTTAAAATGCGACTTCATAAACTCAACTAATATTTAAGAGTCCCTTTGCACTTGAGGTTATTTATTGGCATTAGCTACCATCTTTTTTCCGCGACTAGTGTCCGTAAATGGGCATATTTACGACATTTCCACACTTTCAAGCGAAAATAATCTACCTGACTTTACCGGGTAAACTGTACATTCAAATTTTATATTCCACGCTTACATGAAAAACATAAAAGCATTATTTTGAAGTCACGCAACGCTATGTCTATTAGTTTTATGTGTTTATTGAAATGAAGCAATTACATGAAGACTTAAATTGGCATTTATTTGCGGAAATTTTTGTCATAGACTCATTTTAATAATACTTATTTTAATTGCACTTAAATCAAAAGTGCGGCAGTTAAAAAGGTAAGGATATTCTTAATTATGCATAGCTTGTGTTTTAAAAGTGTTTTACATGTCACGAACGAAAGAAAATGCTTAAATGAAGGAATGACACTCATCAAATTATGGCTAATGGGGAAAATGAAAAGAAGATTGCAAGGAAAAAATGTTTGCGTTATACATTTTTTTTTGCACAAAATGTATGAATCAAATTTTTTCCTCATTTTACTTGAAATTCCAAACACATTTCTTTTGCAGAATTATAGAGTCTGAAACAAGTGTTTGAGAAAATAAGGATCACTGTCGTGTTGTTTTAGCTATCTGCCTGAAAGTAAGTTTTTTCCCCATTTTATGTCAGATTTAATGTTTTATTTTGTTATCTATTAACTTCGAATTTACTTTCAAATAAATGGACATCTTACTAACTGAAAAGATCGTTACATCAAAACAGCAGAAATAAAAGGAACCGGGCAGTCTGAAGGACAGCTAAATCCCATTCCGCAGCAGACATGATTGTGTACTTCTTGACCTTAAACAGACCATGGCATTGATATTGTGTCATGTAAGCATATAGTCTTATTATAGTAATTATTTGTGCCAATTTATTTAAAATCTCCCATAAAGTCAAAAGTTATGGAGAACATTTAATTTAATATTGACCTTGGGGTAGCAACCTGGTCGGGTTCTGCACATCATGCCGTAATGGTGATCATTTGTGCCAACTTATTTTATGTTTTTCAACGGTTTAAAAGTTATGGAGCGAACACAAAATGTAAACTTTTTAACACTTGACCTTTGAGTGTGACCTTGACCTTGGCGGTAGCAACCCATTTATTGCACATCGTCTCATGATGGTGATCACTTGTGCCGTGTTATTTCATTTTTTCACCGGTTTAACGGTTATGGAGTGGACACGAATTGTAAACTTTTTAACACATGACCTTTAAATGTTACCTCGGGTGTAGCAATCAATGATTGCCTCTGCATATAGTTGAAGTGATCACTTGTGCTAAGTTATTTCAAAATTTTCGCAGCGGTTTAAAAGTTATGAAGCAAACACTAAATGTTTTTTTTTGTTATTTGACCTTTCAGTGTACCCTTGACCTTCGGGATAGCAACTTAAGAATTGTGTTCTGCATATCGCCTCATAATGGTGATCACTAGTGCCAAGTTATTTAAAAATATTTTATGTCTTTCAAAAGTTATGGTTCGGCCACGAAATGCACTTTTTAATACTTGACCTTTCAGTGAGTTCTCGACCTTAGGGGTAGCAACCCTGTTATTGCGCTAAGCAATCGTCTCATAATGGTTATCACTTGTGAAATTTCAAAATAATTTCAGCGGCTTTAAAGTTATGGAGCGGACACGGAAGTGCTACGGACGGACGTACTGATGGACGGACGGAAGGACGGAGACCATTCCTATACCCCCCTTTCCGCTATGAAGGAGGGAAACAACGGCTTACCAATAGTATTGTTTGAACTCATACGGCCATAGATTATTAGTCCGACTCGTGAAACCCCTGTCACACAAGCACGCACACACACACACGCACACACACACGCACACACACACGCACGTACCAACACACCAAAACACACACACATACACACACGATTTTAAATTACGTTTTTGCATTTCAGAATATGTGCCGAGTTTCACTCTTCGTAACATTCTCAGTTTGGCTTCTTATTACATACACAGGTAAAACGATTGCTTATCCAATCTGTAGTTGTGATAAAGTTAAATGATACTTCAAAGTAATATCATAAAATATTATAGAAATAAGTTTCGCTTTAAAATGCATGTGTTTTCTTTGCTAGAAACATAGTTTAATAATTTATTAAAAACAGAAAAACGATAGCGTTATTAAGTGTGACAATTAAAAAAATCCATAATTACAAAAGTTTATGATACTTGATATACTTAGTAATACGTAGTAATATGTATCCTTTCTTTTTATAAGCATCGTGCATAAAAATATTTATGCGGATGCTAAATACACATTTTATCTCCTTATTTTGAGGATAATTTGCAAAAAAGAGAAACGAACTGAAGGATTGAACATTTGGAGTATTGCTCTTGCACAACAACTTGCAAACAGGATTCAAAACGTTGATCTAGTATTAAAAAACATGTGGCTAGCTCGATATGAACGAGTATGATTTTTATTTGTGTTGGCATTGCATATAAGATCCTACCAATGCTTTTCGAGTGAACCATTAGTACATGCATGATTGATCCGAATTGCAATCATATACTCGCAATTCCAACTTATAATTGTTACGTAGTCGTTTACAATCTAATCAGTAACTCGAAACTTTTTGGCGATATTTTTGAATTCTGGCCAAATATTCTGGCAAATGTATGCAGGTCAAGCTAGAAATTCTGTTTATGTTATTAAACAAATAATATTCGGAATATGATGAATTAATTATAATTAACATTTCGATATTTCTATCAGAATATTTTTTACTTGCGAATGAAAGGTAAAAAGGCAAAAGTTGCAGTTCTTCTGTGTCGTTTTTATGAACTTATAAATTACACACTGATAAATCATTATCTGTGAGCTGTTGAACGTAGGGTGTCTGACATTGGACTAACGTTGTCTCTTATAAAGACCGCTTGAAGTGTGTTGCATCCAAATATTGATGTATTCAAATCCTAAAGGGCATTTGAAAAAAATAGAGTCTGCAACCTTTTTTATCACCCTTCAGTTACTACCATGAAAAGCAATTGTATAACACTGTTTAACATGTTAAAGATACAATCTCTTATTTCCTCACATCAAGAAATATTGATCGATGCTTAATATTTTAAGTAACTTGTTATCAAAGTTCATCATATTCTGCTTCCAAAAAACTTCAATCTGTTATAATACTGAAAGTTCAGGTTTTATTAAAATATAAACAAAACAGCGAGCAAACACCGTATCAATGTTACTTAAGTTTAAGTTTGAACAACTATGTATACGGGGGAGGATCAAAATGTAATGCAATATGAAGTATTTTCTAACAAACGATTCAGGTTTTGAATAATTAAGACAGAAATAGGTCAGTGTGCTTGGCAACGGCAATACCTCTTCATTCTAAAGTCTAAAACATCGATACTGTTCTGTCTCTAAAATCTTTGAACTTGTGATATTTCCAGCGATAGGATCCAGTGATTCCGGTATGCGCTGTTTGCTGCAATGCTGTATTTTTGAACCCCCTACCTGTCTTTGCTCATGCAAGCTATTTTTTGGCTGTTAACACAAATTACAAACATCAAGCTTTTGCCATAGGGTCTTTCTGCAAACGGACGATGAAACCATCTCCATTCCCTTCCATTTTCATACAAATTGGCTAACTAGGTTAAATCTCCTTCTGTGTACACAAAATACACTTTACCTGAAAGGAAATTCTGTTTGTCTTCCATTTTGAGCTGATTAAGTGTTATCCCTCGGATGCATTATTCACAGCAAATTTACATGAAAATGGCAGATTCGGTTTGATTGAGTCTGCACACGATGGATAAAGTGCAATATCCCTCACGCCCCCTAGCACCGGCTTTGGTGCTACTCATTTTTCAACACTTAAAAAGTGCTGAAACCATTGATCACGAAGGACAAGAAAAATATAACAGCATTGAACTGAAGTACGGGGCAACTTTTTAAAGCTGCCACACAACATTCGACACATATACATTGTAAATCGGGAGGCATTACTCAGAAACAAATTACATGAAATTAACAGACTCGGAAAAAGATTAGTGTGTATTCGTCAAAACTTCACAAGGGTTATTTATTTGGGATTTGTTAGCATTAAGATTCGTTTCCTGCAGTTGATATATGTGCACAAATATTTAATTCACGGTGATAGGGCGTTTACCACAACTTTTCCGCGCAACGTCAAAATATCATACTTCTGCCCGAGACACACGCACGCATCTTTCTGGTCAAAATAGTTATGGCGGTCTAATCGAATTGTAGGAAATAGCTTATAAAATATCTTACTGTTTGTCACAATAGGGACTACGATGGGATACCAGGCCGACCACAATTGCTATCTAAAACAACCAACAAGTCAGAACAGAAAATATATACAAATTTATTTACAAGAAACGAATATTTATAAATGAAAAATGATTATATATACTAGGACGAAAAAGAAACGCCAGGTAACCTATAATGATTGTTTTAAGGGATTAATCGTATTATTGGTTTATTATATTCATTTTTTGTATGGCAGCCCTGGCAGCCCTGATCCGTCTATGCATGGAATTCACCAGGGTGTTAATCATGGCCATGGGGATGTTATTCCATTCTTCATGCAAGGCATGTGTGAGCTGGACATGATGAGTGGGGGCATTTGGACGTCTCCTCACCCTCCTATCCAGTTTGTCCCACAAATGTTCAATTGGAGACAAATCTGGACTGAATGCTGGCCAATCGAGTGGGTGTATGTTACTGTTGGCAAGAAATTGCTGGCAAACTCTGGCGACATGGGGCCGGGCATTGTCTTGCTGCAATATCAGGTTCCGTGCTTGCACGCATGGGACGGCAACTGGGCGGAGGATTTCGTCTCTATACCTGACGCCGTTTAAATTACCGTCAATCACAATCAATGGTGATTTAAACCCATACGAGATGCCGCCCCAAACACATACCGAACCACCAATTTTATTGTACAAAAAATAGGCCAAGCAATATATGTGTTGCATATTTTATGTACCCGGCGTTTCTGTTTCGTCCTAGTATATGAAAAGTCACTGCGCAAACAAACACTATCAACGTATCTCAGTCTATTTCTCCCGTAAAGTTTCTGTCATGATGTTTCAATAAAGTGGTGGCGTTGTTGAACAAAATTCGTCACAATGGCGGGCGTCTTGTATAAAATCTTATCAAGCGTAACTGTACTTCCTACAGTGTTGGCACAGTTGATAGGATCCTGAACAAGGGCATGCTTCACCCTTAAGCCATAGACATACGTGTGGAGGGCCCGTGTCATCTTCGGGTGTGTCCACAAATAAGAAGCTACAAAGTATAAAACATGGTAAGTTCCATGATAATCAAACATAAGGGTATAATAAAGTCCCTTGGAAAAGACTCGACCTTTGTCGGTTTCCAATAAAATAACGTGCTTCTTTGAATAAACAAAATGTCAACTATAGTACACCATACATTCCATTGAACAAAAATTCAATCACATCCGCATAGTACTGCGTTGCAAATATATTCAAATATACGCCACATAATAACCACCAATAAATAAACGTCTTCAAAAATCATGCCACTGAAGATCCTTCTCTAGAGATACGTTAGTTTTGATACGTTGTATTTACTTATAACAAACACTGATGATAAATGAAATGAAGTAAGATGATAACGTAAATTAAATTGATTGAAACAAATCATTACGATACTGCAGCATTTTACATAAAGCTACACAAATACGGTAGAACCATAATAAATTATTTATGGATATATATATATATATATATATATATATATATATATATATATATATATATATATATATATATATATATATATATATATATATCTATAAAATATTCATGGCTCCTATACAATTACAATATAATTAAAACTTCAATTAACATACATCAATTAACAGGTCTCGGTATAAATTTGCAATAGCGAAACACTAGAATAAAAAGAACTTTTAAAATTTAATCTGCGAAAATTTAGAAAATTTAGAAAACAATAAATTACTGCCAAATAACTAAACCTGAATCAAATAAACTATAATTCTAAAAGAAAATAGTATTTTACGAAATAGCAAACATTTATGAAACAAAAATCACTAGAAAATTAAGTTAACCTTGTACAAGCTGTAATTTTATGACAAATATAATTTGTCTGTCACCGTCATAGTGACCTGTATACCGTCCAGTGCATTGCAATATATCACTTAAAATTTAGTCATTATATAGCAAACTACTGAGTACTGAGCGGAAAACGGATCGTGCAAAACATGAAAAATCGATTTGCACGAAATAAAGCTGGGACGGCGGGAAAAATAGTTATGTAAAATAAAGGCCCGTCCTTCAAATACAGACATTATACATATATCTGGTTCATAAAACAAAAATTTAAACTTTCTTATTACTGAAAGGATTTTTGTGAAATAAACGGCAATATGTTTAAATTGAGACATGGAAATTTATGCAAACCATAAAAATACTCTAAATAATAATTTCACCCGAAAACTCTTAATTGAACAAAAGATGATGCAATCTCACATCAATGAATATAGAGTAAAAATGAGGTTCGGCGTGAAAATATAATGCAAGATTTTACAAACGTACTTTCACTTTGTGACACTGTTAGACATTGCAAACTTTTTTCAACGTTTTAATTATTCCATCGAATTTTTGAAACATTTCATCGTTAATCTAGCACAACACAATTCGCAGAACATCACATATTTCGAAGAAATAGTGTTTACAAAAGGTCATGTCGATCTCAACATGACTTGTACTTATGACCAAAACCTTGGCTATAACAACGATGCGTTTTTGCTATGACCTGACGAGCCTGTATATATATAATGGTTGAGCATAAATTAAAGTTCCACACAAAAGGCTGTGTTCTATTGTTGTCTTTTGGGAATATGTGGTGGGAAAAGTCCTACTGACATGAATATTGGAGCACCGCACAAAACTAAATTCTAATGCCGAAGTTAATTCCGTTAGACTGATAATTACTGGCATTGTTTTCTTTTGCACCATACTTACTTACAGATGTACTAACAAATATGTTTTATTTGATGAAAATCTGTTGTTTTACTCTTTTATTAATAAATGTTATTTTATGGGAGACTTGAAGTTCGAATTCCCAAAATACCAGTAAGATAAGTGCAATGGTCTCAATAGATAAGTAAGTTAATTTTCTATATATGTTTTTCGAATTTCTTCAAATGTATAAACCCCACATGTAAATATCTCTCGCCGATCGTCGCTTATGGAAAAAAGTAAAGAAAATAAATGGAGTGATTTAAGGACAAATAATGTCCACATTTTACTATAATTGTTCAAGTTGTACGGTGCCTAGAGTATGCACGTGGAAACATGAAAATCATACCATTTATACAAAAACAGGTTATCAAAATGGTGTAACTTGTTCAAACGATAATAATGTACATACAGTCGACTCTCGTTATCTCGAAGTCATCGGGACCGACCAAAAATTATCGAGATAAGGGTATGAATAAGGCAGAAACTTATTTTTACAAAGACATGTGCATACCTTATATCAAATAAACCATGATATCCCCATGTTTTGTTTTCATAAGCCTAGTCAATATTTAACAAAGTAACATTAGCGGATGTTTACCAGCGGAAATACGGGTGTCTGTGATAAAAACACATAGTGAGGTTTACTCAGTAATACGCAAATATAGTGAGAACATTGTTTTCAGAGTGGTTGATCCGGATATCCTCCCGGGTTAGTTGTCGGACCCTTCTCCGATTATTCAACCGCTGATTGATTTGGTTATGATGTTGTGAAACAATATTGAAACAACAGCGTTCCTATACTTTCACTTTTTCATTTACATTTAAAGTCATAATGAATTGATACAGTGTTCGAATATTTATAAAGAACGTAAAATTCACTCATTGTGGACATAAGTCAATCAACACGCTAAATAAATTAACTTTTATAAAAAAAGCTAAACTTGTTATAAACATAATCATCATTATGACACGCGCTATTGAGCAATTTTCGTCTAGTTTGTGTTTTTCACTCGTCTGATTGGAACAGATGAAGGAAAATTATTAGTCGAGATAAACAAAGGATAATAGTGTGAAAATAACTGTTGGGGCTGAAATTATACATCGAGATACTGAAAACATCGAAATTAAAATATCGAGATAAACAAATATTTCCAATATAGATAAAGAAGGATGAAAATCGGGACTTTCAAAATTTCATCGAGATAACGAAATATCGAGAAAAGCGATGTCGATATAACGATAGTTGACATATCTGTATTGCATTTCGATGAGTCATATGAACTAAACGTACTTAAAAGTTTTAAATTTCGCAATCAAAGCAATATTTTTCACAGTTTGCCCCAACTGTTTTCACTATCTTGACTTAGATAGTGAAGCATTTTGGCTGTAGTAAAGAGTAATAAGCTTCAAATTAAATGACACATTCGATGGAATAAAAAATTCGATGATTTTACATTGTTTTGGGCAAATTATCATCTGTTTTCTTGTCGTATGCAGTCTTTACATCCATTTTGTATGACAGAAAGATACGGTGTCTCGGTCAGAAGTATTTTGACGTTGCGCGGAAACGTTGTGGTTAACGACTTTTCACCGTGTAATTTGTCTTGACAGATTATCCAATCAAACCGATTATACTAATCGATGATGATATTTTGAAGATTGTAAAATCATGTATTGTCATATGTGTCTCAATTATTGATGTATATGCTTGAATTTGTTGGAACAAATTGAACACGTATGTGACATCTTTCGATCGGCCATATTTTTCAATCAAACCATCTAGCTCTTTACTGTCATCTCATCGATATATTTTCTGCACATTTGTTATGAGTAATGCATTTAATGTATGTACTTCTATAAATAAAAATCGTCTTTGATATATAAACAAGTATTTAAATAAACAATATTAAAGCTTGCGTTTATAGTTTAAGATGCATGAGTTGGTTCTATGAAACATTCATCAATCAAACGTCTTACACTTTGTTTCTTTAAGAATAAATAATTTTGAAGGGTTGAAATAGAATGATGTTGAATAGTTGCTGTATATTAAGTTAATTGGCCATACTGCATTACATATTAATCCACCCACGCTCGTATGATTTGGAAATGTTTTTTTTAAATTTACACCCATAAAATAAACACAGTGCATACATAAGTCATTTTTTCTGCTGGAACCATTACCTTTGAAGTAGGCACCTGTCTGTGCAGCAGTGGGTGTTTCGGTATGATATCGTTGGTGCGAGCTTAGGTTTCAACCTTCAATATATATGTAAAATATCCTCCAAAGCGATTAATGAGTCCAACTCAAAGCTTAGAAATAGAGCAAGTATCTTTTTCCATAGAAATAGCTTTTACTCGGGTTTGGTTTTTGTGTCGCCTCTACGGAGTAGTGGCGACATATAGGGATCACTTCTCCGTCGTCTGTCTGTCCGTTTGTCTGTCTGTCTGTCTGTCAGTCTGTCCGTCACAAAACTTGTCCGGACTACTCCTCATAAACTATTGGTGCAATTTCATCCAAACTTTACAGGAATGATCAGTACTAAGTCTTGTTGTGCATATTGTCCGCATTTTCCGGTTCAATGATTTTTGTCAGAGTTATGGCACTTTAATAATTTTTATTTTTAAAGTTTGTCCGGACTACTTCTTTTATACCACTAATGCAATTTCAATGAAACTTTAAAAAAAGATAGAAAGCGGAAATGGACAAAACTTGTCCAAACATAAAATTGGCCATCATGAGGCGGCACATGTGATTACTGATCGCTCTTGTATATGAAACCATAACTTAGCTCTACATAAACGTCTTAACATAGTACATATTGTTTTTGTAAATCATTAAATATATATACATGTAATTAAGCATGTACATGTATATGTCTGTTCTCATTGTATTTCGGCAAAGACGGCAGAGTCCGAAAATTACTTTTTTACCTTGATGCAATCGATGATAATTGCTTTTGATGATCAAAATTGATCAAACAAAACAACACAAAAAAGCTTAAAAAGATAATTTTTAGCTTGTGCATAATTACAAACAGAAATAAGTATCACGATTATAATATTTTTCATGTTACCATATGATTAAATATTACTTCAGACGCAAACGTTGTGATTCAGAAACCGGACAGTTCAAGTAATGAACATGCTTGCTCATGTGGTAGAAGTCTAACGTTAACTTGTATGTTTGAAGAGCACAAATTTGCTGTGGCATGGATGAATGCAAACGATATTACACCAATTGCACAATGTGTACAAAGATCATGCGATTTAAACCCCGTTTATTTAGGACAGTATACGTTTTCCTTTGATGTGGACCGAAACGTTTTCAATTTGACAATAATAAAAGTGACAAAGAAAGACAATGGAAGAAAATTGGTGTGTTCTGACGGATCAAATATCGATTCTATAATTTTAAGAGTCATAGGTTAGTACAAAAATCTTAATATTCACCACTCCTATTCTATATGTTTTGTAAGTACATGTAATATAAAACTTAAAATCGCCAGAAAGTTTCCTTAATACATTTGTTTCACTTATTAATAATTTACATGAAGCTTTATATCATGAAACAGACATAGGTGAAATTTGTTATCGGCTAGGCCAATTTGAATATTACATCATAATCAATGGCTCAATATTCAGTAGTTGTATAATATTCATCTGAAGCATACCTACTCTTTACTTTTATTAGGGACAATGTTAATTACCTTTGTACATATACATATCAAACGCTTGTATCAGTCAAGGAATTATGTTTTGATTCCTCATTATGTATCAGATTTTGTTAAATAGTCATAAATAGTCATTACTTTGTGCAAGTTGTGCCTTAGAAAAATAGCTCATATGTTTGCAGACTATTGTACACATCGGAATGCATTGCCATTAGATATTCCAAATAGTTTTCTTATTTACTTGACAACAGAGTCGAATTTTGCAAGTGACTATGTGATTAGCCGAATTTGAATGTTAATCGCATAAAAGTATATGTGTTAAATGTTAATAATAGAATAAATAGCATATGTGTTACAGATCATGAGCCTCAGCTTTTTGAAGATATATGGCACGGGACTATAATGGCGACATCTGGATGTGTCTCTCAAAACAGTAATGTTACCTTTAAATGGATTGTAGTAGATGTATGTTTCTTGAAATGTTTTGTCATGAAAAATTATTTGTAATACTTTTTTATATATTTCCTCCACATCTTCTAATGTTTGCGCTATGTTTTTCGTTGCATCAACATTTTAAAGTCCATATGAAGACCTTTCAGGATAACTGGTACAGAAAAAACCTACAGTGACACTTCGTGTTTTATTAAACGCACAAAAACACACCTGTGTAGTTTCACTGGTCCTCTCTTAACTTGATTGAAAGGTTCCACTCATGACATCATCTGATGCTCCTGGCGTGACTCGAGCCCACCGTGGTATGTGAAATTCCTTGACATAGACAATCGTGACACTGACACCGATTCTGATAACATAGATGCAGATAAAGTAATACAATGCATCATTCAAGATACTGTTTTGAATTAACACATGGTTATGGATGTTGAGACAGTTTTTGCCATTTTATAAAGTCTTATGTAAAAGATATGTTCAAACTTGTTCTTTTAATCATAGATTATCTATCATAGAATAAGTAAATTGACTGCTAATCTATTATTATTGACAATGGTTGTTTCAAATAGACAATGTTCCGTTCTTTAAGCATACATATTAAGTGTTTCAACGGCAACAATAACTATGTACTAAAATGACTTTATTTGATTTATGATTAACTTCGATTTTATTCGTTTAATTCATTGTTTATGAAATACCAGAACTAGACGAATACATACACGCGCCCACAAGATTATACATGTAATAACATACATACACATGTGCATACAAAAAGAGATACATACATACATACATGAACGCACGCACGCACAAACGTACACACATACATACACTTAGTACGGATATTTAAAGTTTAACAGTTCAAAAAACATGACTTCAATTCGCTTTAGCCTTCACGCAATAGCAATACTCGTATAAGATAGATCATTTTTTTATTACAGGGAGATTAACCTAATAACTTTATGCTGAAACTTCAGCTTTCGTTTAAAAATTAAGACGCCGTCTTCAGATATTATTATTTCTTTTAGATCGATAGTAAATTGGAAAAGGAAATACAACCGCAAATCCTCGACGCAAACATGACAAATTGTTTGAATAATTCTGATTGCACTCGTTCTGACAAAGTTCAGTACACAGAGGTAATTTACGCTAGAGCCAGTAATAATGGAAATTGCTATGTGAAAATCGCAGCCTTGTACGGGAATGAACGTAAAGAGACATCAAATACTGCGGTGAAATACGTATTTGAAGAACAGGGTATATATTTTATTTTTCGACTACAATTATTGTCTAAATATAGTTTTGTATTATTGATTATTGAATAAATGAACACATATTTAAACGCAGTCTCATTCGGAATTCACTTATGAGCGGAAGTGCACTACAACATTGAATGAGTTTTATTTTTACAAGAGTCACAATTCTGTTTGAAACAGTGAGACACGGAAACGTCGTGTTTTTTCTCCTTTTTTGTTTTTCTGCTTCGTATCCAAAATGTCACAGTTCAGATACAAATGCTGATACAAGTTATGGTCTATGTTTTGTGCAAAACGCCATAAAGAAAGCTTAGTTGGTAATATATTTACATGCATGCCATTAGTTTAGCTTTTATTTTCGTCACATATGTGCACATCAATTGTATGTTCTTACAGCTAACCTGAGCATAATATGTAAAACTTTATGATCACAACTCAATCTGTATACAATCCTCAGTATTATGTCATCTAGAACGGTAGATCCAGTCAGTTAGAAAACAAGTCCAATCATGTGAGTAATAGGCTCAACAGATCAACTTAATCAATATACAAGACCAAGTCATGTGTGATCTTAGCCCTGTATAAATTCTTTCTGTACACAAGTCCCAGTCTTGAGATATCTAGAGTTTGTATACTAACTTAATTAAAATACACGCCCTAGTTTTGTCTAAACTAGACCCTGGAGACGAACTTAATTAGTAAACGACCCCGGTTATATATGGTCCAGACCTAGTAGACCAACCCATCAGAACATAAAGCCAAGTCTAGTGTGATCTAGGCCTAGTGTTCCAAAGAAACGAGTGTAAAAGTCCCGTTCTTATGTGCTCCACTCGTTCAGAATTATACAAGCTTCAGTCTTGTATGATCTAGGCCAAGTAATCCAACTCAATTAATATACAAGCCCAAGTCTCGTCTTATCTAGGCCGTGTAGACCAACTCATATAGTTAACATTCCAAGTCTTGTGTGATCTAGGTCGTTTTTACCAACTCGACCAGAATACAAGTCGAAGTCTTGTTTGCTAGGCCGAGTATACCGACACTGTTAGAATACAAGCCCCTATCTGGTGAGATCTAGGGTCTGTATACCAATTTAATCAGTATTCAAACACCAGTCTAGTGTAACCTAGGCCCCAAAGACCAACTCACTAAGAAAACAAGCCCAAGTCTTGTGTTGATCGGCCCAGTTGACCAAATCAAACAGTAAACAAGTCCCAATCTTGCTTAAGCTAGGCCCTGTAGACCAAATCAATCAAAATACAAAAGCAAGTTGTGTGTGATCTACACCAACTCAATAAATACCAGATATGTTATAGTGTGATCTAGGCCAAGTAAACCGACTGAACTGATATGCATGCACTAGTATTTTGTGATAAAGGCACTATAAATCAACTCAGGTCCAAGAATTTTGTGATCTAGGCCCTGTACACAAACTCAATCAGTATGAAAGCCCCTGTCTTGTGTAACTTAGGTCAACTCAGTGAGTATACAGGCCCTGGTCTTGTTTTATCTAGACTATGCAAACAAACTAAATTTGAACTCGGAGATCAAAAGGTTAGAACATTTTAAACATCTGCCCTGCGAATGAAATCAGTCTTAACCTGGAATACATTGGCGTCATGCCAAGAAATCTTTAACGCATATGATCGGTAATACAGCGAGTTATCGAAAAAGCCGATGCGTTTTTCTAGCTATGTTAATGTATTAACGTTGTTGACGAATTTTTTTTGCCATCTTTAAGTGTCGTGTAGTGAAGAGTATATTGTTTCAAATTGGCATTACATGTTCATTTCTGTCTTCATGGAAATTTCTACATGTTTTTGACGAATATAGATAGCATATTTAAAGATATACTATGCTCAAATTTGATATCAGAAAATATTGATAATTGTTACACAGTCTCTTTGTAAATATGAAATAAACATGCTTTGTGTTCACACAAAGTTAATGTGTCGTGTTTAAAACTCCACACACATAGGTCGTCACAATATGAATATATAGTGTCGTTAAAAACAATTGCAGTGTTTTTAAGAAAAGACCAACTTTACTTGTTCTGTATCAGAGTAATTGACTTCCAATATAGTTTATTGTACACAATTTAAAGTACACATATTCTGTAAGAATTTCATAGGTTTTAATAAATTTCTCTGATAAAAATATTTTACTCAAATATGAGCATATTATATCTTTAAGTCGAATATTGGCTATCAAAAATATCCAAATAGACAAAAAATAGTACTTTTGTCTGCGTAATATTTAATGGACCCTCGTATGACTTTGTACATGTTGATATCTCCCGAGAGCACTAAGGCTAAATGTGAGATTCTGTATCTTTTTTAAACATTGGAATGATGAACCAATACAAATGATATTAAAGTAAAGGCCCATTGCCAAATATTGTCAAATGGATTACCCTATTTATGGTAAAATATTTTAAATCTGTTTCCATAGCAACCATTACTTCCTTAACACAGTTACTATTGAAATCATTTGCAACCATTTACTTCAAATAGTAACCAGTGGTTGTTTTTGTTTATCAAATATGGATTTTCCATGATAACCATACCAACGGCTTACCTATTTTACATTATATACTATTTTAGATACAGCCTTGAATTTGTATTTGTCTAGATTGTGGCCCTATACCTTTTTTTTATTCTTATTCACGGCTCTCATTTATTTTTGAGTATCGTTACCTTTAAGCATCCACACAGCAATTAAATTAAGTTATCAACAAATAAATACTAGTAACACAAAAAGTCGAGGTATTAAAGTATTTATGATGTAAAATTGCTAGAAATAAGAATAAGGAAATATGCATTATATACATTAATGGAAACATTAATTACATTTTAGATGATAAAAATTCAAATGGTCCTAACAGTGCAATCATCTCAGGAGCGGTTATTGGCGTTATTACAGTGATTGTGTGTGCTACACTCTTTTGTTTATACAAAAGACATAAAACAAAGTGAGTTTACAGTCAAATAATTGAAATAGTTCTTCATTAAATAGTAAAAACGAGAATGCAAGTGAAGAAAACAATAATTACTTAAAAAAATGCAATAACAAATTTGCCTATTCTAAGTAAGTAATTTTTCTTCCGAAATGTATCATATGCTTTAAATGAGTTATTGCACTTCTTTCTTTTTCTCAAATTTTAATGAGCCTTTTGTTCTATTTCTTATAAAAGATCGTAATTAAATAGCGGATTAATTTATTTTAAGCGGTGGATATAAAAAAAGTTTATGATGGTAATTTTACAATATATTTTATGTGAAGCTCTGTCTGATAACATACTGGTTTACGTGACAATTTAGACTTGTTGTTTTCTCAATGATTAAATTGTTTTCTAGAACCTTAATTTGTTTTGATTCTTTGTTCGAATAACCACGTACACGGAATATAAACTTGTTAGAGTAGGTGTGTTTTCTGTCGCTATTTGAAGTTTTTTTTACATGTATAGTTTCTGAGAATGATACTCTAATGAGAATAATTATTCATAAAAAAGCGATGTAAAGATAGACAATGAAACGATACCAATGCCATAGTCCATTTACATACAATTTTTATATTTTGTCCGTTTAAAACATCTGTTTCACATGCAGGCTTAATGAAGATATTGTCATATGTCATATTGCATATGATTTTTATCACACACACTCACTAACAATTTAATCGTGTAAGAAATCATCTACGCATAAATGTTTAACGTGTCGTATTGGTAATATATATATCTTAATTTCCTTCAATTTATTTATCAGGAAAAAAGAAAAAACGGAAAGAGAAACAAATGATGTAAAGAAAGACCAGTCTGCTGTACCGCTAAAAGTCGTTGATCCTTATTCGGATGAAGGTGTGCATGAAAATGATGAGAAGACCTCATAGCTGAAAAAACTTACTTAAATTATGCACGTATATATTTGTTATATTAAATAGTGTTCACTTTGATTTAGTAAATTATGTTTTCAGCAATTTCTTGCATACTGCTGCTTAAATGGTGCAATGTTATATTTGAGAAAATTGACACTAGTGTATGCCCCATTTACACTCAATGACATTTCTACCGCGTCTACAAGAAGTTGCTTAATTCTCAAGAATCCCGTACTTTCGTAAATAAATTCTAAAAGTTTTGATAAAAAAGAGCATGGTGTCTCTATGGAGCTCGCTTTTAACCTATCGCGTACTTTTTATAGGTTTTCCTGATTTCCTGCGTTCTCTATAAGCTTTCATTGTGTTCACGACGCTATAACTGTGCTGTCAATGCACTTGCTATGTCTTAAAGATATTCATAAGCGCGGAATAATGACTCTGACAATCTCAGAATCACATTTTTCAAACAAGCACTACTGACAGTCAATGTGTTTGCAGTGGCCGCAATATGAAAATTTCTTAACCATTTAAAATGAAAAAGGACGTAGTAACTTAGGCCCGATGAAGGAAACCTTACTGTACTCCTATTGCGCCTTTGTGGTGACTCACATACTTCATTTAAGCGAAAATTTGCTGTTGTCTTAATTGATTTTTGTTACTGCTTTAACATTCAATCGCAAAGTAACAGGCTCCTTTCGCAGTATTTCTGTATACATCTAGTAATCAAAAATATATATCAGTTAAGCAAATACTATAAATTACTGCGCACAATAATTAACTGCACTACACCATTTGAGATTAGAAACAGAATTATCCACTTTAACCAGAGATCAGTTTGTACGCATTATTCATGCAAACATAATTATGTGCTACAAAATTGAAAACAATACTACTTTCATGCATTATCTGTAAAGGAAATTACTCATTTTTTTTATTTTGTAACTTTATTTTCTGATTTCGCATACAAACATATATTAACATATCTTGAAATTCACAAGGGCATACACTAGTATATAAATTCATATAAGTTCACAAAGACATTACATAATTATAGTATTTTCTAAATGCATATAAACAAACATTAGACATTTTCAGGTATTTCTTTATAATTTATTGTTAATATTTGACCTATTCTCTATTTTACCATAAATGAATATACTACTTTTTTGAGCTCGTAAAATCTAAAATGAACATTGATTTTCTTGTGAACAAACTGTTCTCTGAAATTGTTACAGTCTGAGTCTAAGTTCGAATGAATATTCAATATAACCTTTTCTGAATATATAGATAATTTAACATATTCTGAGACCTTGTTACAAATTCACAAAGTACATTTTAACCCAATATATTATTAATCATATAAAATTCTTAGTCATTATAAAAGACATTAAACAAAAGTTGATATTAGGATATGTATCTATAACTTATACAGAAACTGAGAAAACAAAGATGGCTAGATGAGAATATTACATCCATTTACTGGAAAGGAAAAAAAAAAAAAACAGCAACGTTACAATAATATGCCCCTTCTGAACAGACATGAATAATGGCTTATGTCTTTGTTAAAATTATTATAGTATATATACCTGTATTATAATGATTTGCCTGTAATTCCAGATTGAATTTTTTTTTTACAAAAGAGTTATCTAAAATATGAGAAAACATGCATTAAGGGGTCAATTTAAATCTTAGAATTATCTACATAAACTCAAGCAGACAGAAACTATTCTTGCGTAGTTCTAACAATATAAAATTTTAAATGCATAGTTCTAACATAATCATATGAATGTTTAAAGCTTGAAGAAAAAGAAAAATAAGAAAAATAAAGGTTCAAGAGTGTCAGGTGGATGTTTTTTTATCTAGCTTGTTGAACAAAAAAAAAACATTTAAAAGATGGAGCAAACCAAAAGGCAAGCGAACCATGATTTGAACAAAAATCACAGCATTAAGTTATACATTTATCAAACGCATATATAAAGTAAACAAATTATACTACCTGTCCTATGTCGGTGTTACTGATGCTATGGGGGCCCCAAATTTATATTAAAACCTTTTTAGATTAAAAGTTTGGACAGCAAAACCCAAAAGTTCTGCTTTAAAAACAGGAAAAAATGCCCTTTTTAAAAATTGAAAAAATTTAGGGTTTCTGTCATTTTTTATCTTATCCCGATATATTTTAGTATTTTTTGCCCAAATATGTTAATTTTGGTTTAAACACTGATTTTTTTGTTTTATAAACCCAAAAATGATTAAGTTTTGCCCCCAAATTTTTAAATTTTCCGAAGGGGGGAAAATTGGGGTTTAGCCAAAGTTTTTTAAAATTTTTCCAAAATTTTTATTCAAAAAATTCCCAAATTTTAAAAAAAGGTTTGGTAAAAGTTTCACTCGCCCGTGTGACAAAAAAAAATTTATTTTTGTTCCCTAAAAAACCCTTTTAAGCAAAAAGTTTATTTGGTGCCCAAAATTCTTTTGGGTTTAAACCCCATATTTTAAAACCCTTGTAATTTAGGTTTCATTTAAAATTTTTTTAAAAGGTAACTTGTATATATTTTTCCGATCTAGATGATTTGTGTTAAAGATTTCTTAACCATTTTGTTTTGAAAAATATTGTGGATTTATATCAAGTTTATCATTTGAATATTCTGCAAAACCCCTTTACTGATGTATTCATTAATCTTAATAAAATAAAGGTTGTAATGGATTTTACTTCTTTTATTTGATTATGGGAATTCTTAAGGAATCTAAATATGATCTAACAGGAGTGTTGATATTATTATATTGTAAAACGGTTTGTGTGTAAAAAGGGAACTAAAATTTGATATTTGAAATTCCCCGATAGAGGTATTTAAAGACCCGCCATTTTCATTCATTTAAAATCCATTTATAATGAAATTATTCTCCTGTTAAAGGTAAAAATTTATCAAAGAAAAGGATTTTCCACTTATTCCCTTTAAACTTATGATTGTTTTACCAATAACAGGAGAAGGGTTAAAAAAATTTATTTCCATGGCTTTATATTTAAAAATTTCCATATAGGAAAAAAATATTTGGGACCAAACATTTTTTCCAAAAAAACCTTTTTTTTGATGTCCTTTTTTTTTATATTTTTTCAAAATTTAAACCCAAATTTTTACATAGGGTTTAAAAAAGGGCATTTTTTGCCCTTTAACCCGAAATTTAAAATATTTACCTTTTACCCATTAAAAAAAAGTTTCCCTTGCCAAAATTTTAAATTTTATGCTGGGGAAAAAAGGATGTTAAATTTACCATTCTTATTTTCCCCCTTTTTTTAATTTTTGGGGTTTTACACTTCTTTTTTATTTTATCCAGGAACTTAATTGTTCATTAAAAAAAAAAAAAATAAGTTTTGTATCACTTTAATACAACTTGGTCTGTGTACTGGCTGGGAAGACCCATTATTAAATTTGGTTTAAATTTTGGGAAGTGCCTAAAGTTTTAATTTAACTGTAATTTTTTTTTCGACCAATAGAAAAATGTAAAGTTTTATTTCTTCGATTTTTGACATTTATGTTAACTTAAAAATTTCATTCCCCATTCAGTGTTAAATTATTACCCCTGAGAGTTTAAAAGATTCTTTTTCCCATTTTTTAAATTTAGTTTGTCGACATAGTTTCATTTATTTTTTTTCCTAGATCGATCCAAACTGCATTTTTGTTTTTTTTTCAATATTTTAAATGCAGACCACAGATATTTTAGCATAATATTTTAAAAATTTTATAGAGGTATTTAACGATTTTTCTGAACCTCCAAAAAATTTATTTGTAGTATCATCTTGCCATTACTTTTATATTTAAAAATTCCTTATTTATTTATCTTAAACACCCTTTAATGTCCCTTTTAATTTTGTTTTGATTAGCATTGACAGAATTTCTGCGCAGAGAATAAATAAATACGGTGATAGAGGATCACCCTGTCTACAACTTTTATGAATGAAGAACCAGTCAGACAAAGGCCATTTTACCAAGATGACCCACAGCACTGAATGTTAATTTTAGAAATTTTTATCCAAGAACTTTAATATTTTCACCAAAATTTAAAAAACTCTCTAAAACTTTTGAAATAAAAATTGCCATGAAATAGAAATCAAAAGCCAGTGGCAACATCCATAAGTTAAAAACAGGCTGGCGCCCAATTTTTTCTCAGTAAAAATTCATAAGATCATTAAATTTAATCTTATTCATTTTCTACCCCAAGAACCGACCTGGGAATAAATCCTGTTTTGATCCCTTCACTTATTAAAGAACTCTTAAAATAGGGTTTTATTCTCTTAGGCAAATGCAAGCAGAAGCCACTTTTATATGAAAACATTTTAAAATAGTGATTAGGTCTCCCAATTTTTTTAAATTTTGTTTATGTTTTACCTTTTGAATACAGGTTGATCACCCCCCCTTGTTTTTTTGGGAAGATTGATCTAAATTCACCCTTTGTAAAAGCTGGCATTTTTTTTGAACGGGTTAAATTTTGACCAAATTTGACCAAAATACTTTTATAAAAGGGGCCGGCAGGTAAAAACCCAAAAATTGCCTTTGGTGCTTAATTTAATTTTAACATTTTCTTTAAACCCTAATAATTTAATTCATTAGTTTTAAATTTCCTTTCCAGAGATAACACCTTTTCATTTTCTGATTAATTTTTTTTTGAAAATTAGGATATTCCCTTTATAAGCATATAAGTTTTTGAAATGACTTTTTAGTTTTTCTCCAAAAATTTTTAATCTTGATTTTTGGGAACAATTCAACCCGGGCTTAGAGTAAAATCAATTTCTTAGTTTTGAAGAAAATTTTTATTTTCTTTGTTTAAAAAAAATTTTTGAGTTGGTTTTTCCCCTTCTAGAACCATTTTTGCTCTTGATTTTTATTTAGTGCTCCTTTTAATTCCCTTTTCTTATTTTTAAAAAATTCTATCTTTTTTTCTTCTCGCAAAATTAAATCACTTGAATTTGAATTTTTGGGAGCCTTGAAATTTTCTTTTTCAATTTTTTTCCCCAACTTTTTTCCCTTTGGGGGCTTTTGAAAATTTTTTGAAAGAAATTGCTAGGGTTTTTCCCCCCTATTT